GCACATCGAAGCGCTTGCCTTTGTAGCCCAGCAGAGTGAAGCCCCTGCTCAAGTTGCCATCTCCAGCACAGTGTTCAACCTCAGCTTCGGGGTTGCGGTTACGGGTTTAGGGTTTAGGTTTTAGGGTTTAGTGTTCAGAGTACTGAGACCTTGATAATCAATTGGTATTTAACTGACATCCAAGGCACGAAATCATTTCTCAACGCTGGATCTGGCTGATACATCTCCCTCTGCACGAAGGCGAGGACAGCGGCGAGCATTGCCAGCTTCATTGCAAGATTATATTAATTGATACCCCTATTATAAAACACAATATCCAGGGTGGATTAGAATTTATAATATATATAATATATATATTAATTATAAATCCACCCTGGATATTGTGTTTGTAGGCCAGCAACATTTGGCCTGCCGAGAACCCTACGTGGTTTTAGGGTTGCATGGGATCGAGTCTAGGGTTGGTTATCAGAGTCCGGATTTCGGGTATAATATGTATTGCACCAACCCCTCCTGCAACAAAGCTCGAGCACCAATGTACACAAGGTTATACTGCACGTGATTTAGTGAGCAGCAGCTTCGATGCATGCAAGAGACACTGGGGTTTTCAGCTTGGGAGCACCCATAATTCCCCAATCCTCACACGTGGGCCATGCCACATCCACGGATACCATAGGCAGCGATCATAGCACAGCCTGCAATGAGGGCAGTCATTATTGGAGTTGAGGGGGGTGGGTCACATCATTGCATGGACTCAGGGTTTAGGGTTAGGGGCGCTTAATTTTGTCGGGATAGCCATGGCAGGCACCGGCCTAGTCCTGCTCATCTTCATTGGACTCTGCACCATCGTCTTCGGACTTTGTCTCCGGCGTGTCCTTCTTCTTTCCTCTGGCTTTCGCCTTTGCCTTTCCTTTTGCTTTGGCCTTCGCTTTGGGCCCAGCTTTGTCCTTTTTCTTCGCTGTGCGTCCATCCGGCCTGGGCTGTTGAACTCGATCTGGATGAATGCACAAACTCCCTTAGGCTCTCTCTCTCTCTCTCTCTCTCTCTCTCTCTCTCTCTCCCCTCCTCTCTCACTCTGCCTCTGTCTGTGTCCTTCTGTGTCTCTCTGTTGGCCAAGATGCGATGGGTCGACGCAGCCTGCTGCCTCTGCTTTCTTGCGACTGTCGAACGTCTGACCTTTTGCATTCGTGTAGCAGACGTACAAACAGCCCTGTTGGGCTCCCTTCTTCCTCTCCCTCAGCTCCTTGTACCACCCGTCTGCAAGGGGCGTTGTTGAGACCGCTTGCGACGGGGCTTTCCTGTCAGGGGTTCGGGGGCTTCAGCCTTAGAGCTTCGGGTGCTTCAGCAAAAAAAGCTTTGGGCTTCGGGCTACATTATCGAATCCCACCTTTTGGATCCCCGCTCCGCGCGTAGCAGTGCCAACTGTTCAGAGGGTGTGATCGGGCTCTTGTCAGTCTCTTGGAGGGCTGCCTTCCTCATGGTGGGATGCTGACATATACAAGTGGCTGGAACCCCTGCATGCATAATCGATCCTAGTGTCTGCAATGCGGACAAATCCACATTGGTGAGTGTTGCAGACACAGCTCTGCCAGGCTTCTGCTCATAGCTGATGTCATACTGCATGGAGTTCCCCCGGCTGAGCGCTCGTGCCTCGGCTTTCTTCTAGTATTGTAGTACAGAACACGATAATGCAGATCAAGCTAATTCTTGCGAGAGTCGCGCTGCAGCTTCGGAGGGGAAGGAACACCTGATCCGGATGTTGAGTTTATTGGGTACATTGAAATTACATATATCATATGTGGCAACTTCCAATAAGCAGGCCTTGGCCCTCCTCCTCAGCTGCTGCAACAACCTGCTTTGCTTTGTCATCATGAGATCCTGCGGTGTCCTCCTCATCAGACGCTTGTGCCACTTGCCCCTCGGATCCCATATCCTCGTCCTTATCCTCCTCCTCTCCATCAGAGGCTTCGGTTTCGGCTTGTCCCTCTGATCCCACACAGTCCTCCTTATCCTCCTCATCAGAGGCTGCGGCAGCCTCAGCCTCCGATCCATCCTGCTCATCCTCCTCCACATCAGAGGCTATGGGAGCTTGGCGCTCTGATCCCACATCGTCCTTCTGCTCATCCTCCTCTTCATCAGAGGCTTGGGAAGCTTGCCCCTCCGATCCCACATCATCCTCTTCATCCTCCTCCACATTAGAGGCTTCACCCTCTGATGCCACGTCCTTCTCCTCATCGTCGTCTCCATCAGCGGCTTGCCCCTGTGATCCCGCATCGTCCTGCTCCTCAGCCTCCTCTCCATCGGAGGCTTCAGCACCTTGCCCCTCTGATCCCGCATCGTCCTTCTCCTCAGCCTCCTCTCCATCGGAGGCTTCAGCAGCTTGCCCCTCTGATCCCACATCGTCCTTCTCCTCAGCAGCCTCTTCCTCGGAGGCTTCAGCACCTTGCCCCTCTGATCCCACATCGTCCTTCTCCTCAGCAGCCTCTTCCTCGGAGGCTTCAGCAGCTTGCCCCTCTGATCCCACATCGTCCGGCTCCTCAGCAGCCTCTTCCTCGGAGGCTTCGGCAGCTTGCCCCTCTGATGCCACATCGTCCTGCTCCTGAGCCTCCTCTCCATCAGAGGCTTCGGCAGCTTGCCCCTCGGATGCCACATCGTCCTCCTCCTGAGCCTCCTCTCCACCAGAGGCTTCGACAGCTTGCCCCTCCGATCCCACATCGTTCTCCTCCTGAGCCTCCTCTCCATCAGAGGCTTCGGCAGCTTGCCCCTCCGATCCCACATCGTTCTTCTCCTCCTCCTGTAAACACCCAGAAGCGAAAGCTTCATCTATTAAAGCTACACTATATATCATGAGATAATAGGTCAAAACCGGAAATGTCAGTTAGTATAAGAACTGTATAGGAAGGGCCCGGGAGCTAAGTGTCAGTTCTTATAGGATCTATACAGGAGCAGATAGCACGAAAATGCTGGGTGTACCATAGCATTTCTTAGATACACCAGTACACCGAAGAAGATTCATTGGGGGCTTCATGGGCTGCAGAACATGACACACAGGATTCCGAGTCCTTTTCTTCTTCTTCTTCTTCTTCTCTGCACTTGTTGGCTGGAGCCACATCTTGGGAGTCCTCGATCCCAACACATATTGAGTCATGCAACCACTCCTAATTTGAGCCATGCCTCGAACTCCTGGAGGCACTCTTCCAGCTCATCTGCAAAGTGCTCCAGCTGGGTGTCCGTCAACTGGGTCTCCAGGTTGTCCGGCCTGCAACTGGAGGCAGTGGAACTCCTGCAATGCATGTATAGTGGTCGCGAAAATCAGGGCGGACACTGCAATCCACTTCACCAGCACATCAGTCCTTCCAAGCGCTTGCTTGGAACGAACACATTTGGCCATCATGTCATGCAGCCGATCCGCCTGCCAAGTTCAAGAACAGAAACACAGATCATGTCCATTTAAGGTCAGTGGCCTGAAGGCTCGACCACACATCCACCTGGACTCCCACAGGACCTTGGGCCAATGCATGTGCACACACACACACACACACACGGTCTGCACCTGAGCACTTGACACAGACGCTTGTCCTCGTTGATCTCCTTGCATATCTGCAGCAGGGAGCCGCGGCTGGGCCTCCTCTTCAGGTTCCTGAGTTTAGTACACGTGAAATGAAAACAGAAGAACAGACATCTGCCGGACATTGACTGCAGCACAGATGCGATTCGATGTAGGCCTCCTTGACCCACTGGTTCCCCCGCTTTCTCAAATCTCCGCCTGACACGGACAATGTATGCATGCATGCACACCTGCACCGACGTGCAGTTTGTGGGTCCTGGCAGCAGGTCCCCTCCATTCTTCCTCACCTTTTTGGCGTCGATTTTTTTAATCATGGCATCCTTCAGTGTCCTGAGTTACAGCATACATGCATGCACGATGCAGCATGCATGGCCTATCCATGAATCCAGGGCTCTTTGCAGGGGCAGGTAGCCCGGTCTTCTTGGGCCCCATGACCTCTGTCATCAGCAGTTCCAGAACTAGCCCGGCATGCTAGAACATATAGTCTTGCTTGCATGCAAGCCGCAACAGACAGCTGCAGCGGATCACCAAATCCCCAAAGGAAAAATGGCTCAGGCGAGGAGTGCACAAATATTAAAACTTCTTCGGTGACATGAAAAGTGTCCTCGTATAAGCTTCAGGTAGAGGATTTGTTCCCAGCCATGATCATGCATGCATGGTGCACAAGCTGCAGCTTTAGTATAAAGCAGCATCGGCCGCTGTGCAATACGCCTGTCGTTGCTACAGCACAAACCCATTGCCAGATGCAGCTATAGTTGTTTAGTACTTCCTCAACTCACCCCGAGCTTGAAAGACACAAATGCGTGTACCGGCGCTGGCACGCTACATGCACATACACACAACTGCATGCACTCGGACCGCAGAAATTAATGCAGCTGTCAACACCTGCATTTGTCCTTAGCCCGGCTCGGCCGCCACTCGATCCATCTGTCGCCTTTGCCATTAATGTCCATCACCACATCATAAATCCAAATCGCCTTGGCCGGATAGATCGCATATACCATGCATGGGCTGCAGGCACGCCGGAGGCCCACTCGAAGACACGCACACACAAACATTAACCAGACCTAAATATCATGCGGCAGAGGTTCGTGTGCCACAAAAGCGTGACACCACCGATCGATTGCCAGCCTCAGATCAGGCAGTGATCCGTTTTGTGCATGCACAAACCCGATTCGCCAGGGGACATACGGGACGTAGAAGGCAAACCGGCAAACCCATGTATACCAAATATTTGATAAGATCCATATATCTGTAGCCTCAGATGTCGAGAGCCAGTCGGCTTCATGCATGCATGCACACACCCACAGGCATACATGTGACTGCCCAGCTCCAAAAAAATATCGCAGCTGGTCACTGATCACATCTCCAGTGCACAGCCATGTGCAAAATCTAATATCGCACCACACATATATCCTTGTAGCACCTCAGATCCATGGAGTATCACATACCGCCTGAAAACACACCCTACGGGACACCAGTGTTCTGCAAGCTGTCCAGCCACAATCGTGGCCCATCTCATCGGCCCCATCTGCCATTTCTGCATATCATTGGTCCTTAGCTTGAATTCGAGGGTACAGGGTGCAGGCTGTTTAGCACATTCGGCCAGGGAGCACCCCCGAAATTCGGGGAATCGTCGTATGATATCTTCTTCAGCATCAGCTCTAGCTTCAACATCGGAAATCACCTCGGGCAGGTCTGGGTACCCTAATTAACATATTAATTGCATTATACCCTGCAGTACATATTGGGGCTTATGGGTTTAAATCAGGCTTTAGGGTAACCCGGCAAAGCAAAGCCTGTGTACCCCTTCCCAGCTATTCCAGACCTGGCCCAGATAGACCTCCAGCACCCTTGACCAGAACTCCCTGGCCTAAGCCCTGAACAACACGCCTGCCTTAAACCCGAATCCTATGTTAATAGTACCGAGTCCCAGACCCAAAAGACATAACATATAAAGCCAGAACCGAAAAAGCGCCGAGCCCTAGACCCAAAAGACTTTCTAGAACCGAAATCCTATATCTAGGCCAGCGCCACCCGCGGTGCTGGAGCATCATCATCATCTCCGGGATCGCTCCTTGCCAGATCAGACATCAGTATAATTAATAGGACCGTCGGCTTCCGATCGAGTTCTGTGCTTTCGGCTTATATCAATGCATGACGATTGCAGATCAGGCTAACCGAACCCCACAAATAAGAAACCACTCCTCAAGGCTGCATTCATCACCAGGACGTTCTCCACATCGACGACTTCGGTTCTGCAGTGCAGCATTGCCGCCGGGTTAGGGTTTTTATTGGGGCTTGGATCAGGGGTTTCAGTCAAGGTTTAGAGCTCGAAGGGCTTTAGCGATCCTATCCTATTCTGCACATGCAGGACCTAGCCCAAATTGAAAACTCAGGCTCGATATAGATCGAGAAACTCCGTATGCAAATCCGAAAGCCCCCGAAGCCCTCTGGAATGGAATCTCCGAAAAGACCTGAAACGATCGATCTGAACCCAAAGAAATTATAACCAAAACCCAAACCATAAATCCACAACCCTAGGCAAGCTCCTATGCCCAGCAAATCTTAAGTCCTTATATATATAGGTGGGAGACTAGGGTGCATGGGTTTCGGGCCCAAGTAGCAATTGAAATCTTCAACCCAAATCCTGAAAGCTAAAACCCCAGAGACCTGCGTCTGGTACTTCCGATGACGAGGAAAACCTAGAATTATGCCGAAATCCACTATAAGCCTAAAACCCTACATTAGCAGTTGGCCTGGGACCTTAGGGTGAAGGGGTTTCGGGCCTAGTCTAAACCAAGGCCTAGAACCCAAATATTAAGCCGAAATCCACTAAGCCTAAAACCCTATACTAGCAGTTGGCCTGGGACCTTAGGGTGAAGGGGTTTTGGGCCTAGTCTAAACCAAGGCCTAGAACCCAAATCGCTTAAGCCGAAATCCACGAAGCCTAAAACCCTACATGAGCAGTTGGCCTGGGACCTTAAGGTGAAGGGGTTTCGGGCCTAGTCTAAACCAAGGCCGGCTTAGAACCCCAGTATATTAAGCCGAAATCCGCTATGCCAAAATCCCTATACTAGCAGTTGGCCTGGGACCTTAGGGTGAAGGGGTTTCGGGCCTAGTCCATACCAAGGCCTAGAACCCAAATATTAAGCCGAAATCCACTAAGCCTAAAACCCTATACTAGCAGTTGGCCTGGGACCTTAGGGTGAACGGGTTTCGGGCCTAGTCCAAACCAAGGCTTAGAACCCAAATCGCTTAAGTAAGCTGCAATCGCCACTATGCCTAAAGCCCTATATATCAGCAGTTGGCCTGGGACCTTAGGGTGAAGGGGTTTCGGGCCTAGTCTAAGCCAAGGCTTAGAACCCCAGTATATTAAGCCGAAATCCGCTAAGCCAAAATCCCTATACTAGCAGTTGGCCTGGGACCTTAGGGTGAAGGGGTTTCGGGCCTAGTCCATACCAAGGCCTAGAACCCAAATATTAAGCCGAAATCCACTAAGCCTAAAACCCTATACCAGCAGTTGGCCTGGGACCTTAGGGTGAAGGGGTTTCGGGCCTAGTCCAAACCAAGGATTAGAACCCAAATCGCTTAAGTAAGCTGCAATCGCCACTATGCCTAAAGCCCTATATATCAGCAGTTGGCCTGGGACCTTAGGGTGAAGGGGTTTCGGGCCGAGACTAAACCAAGGCCTATAACCAAAATCGTTCAAACCTAAAGCGCTCGGTAAGGATCTTCGGGCCCAGTCTAAACCAAATCCTAGATCCCAAATTCATTATACCCGCAATCCTCCCCAGGAAATCCTAGTAGCCGAATCCCGATTAAGCCTACAACCCTACCTATAGTCTCCATTGTGTTTCCTTTTAAAATCTAAGTGCAGGACCATATTATTTAGGTTCGAAAAAGGGAACTACAATGGAGACTATGGGTCCTAATTATAAGGATCCATGGGACATTAGGGTGATTGGGTCTCGGGCCCGACTACTAAAAATCCAGCTATAGTCCATGTCCATAAACCCGACAAATACGAACCCGATTTAGGCCTAAACTCCGAAATTTAGGCTATGCCCATTAATGCAATCTGGACGGCCTGAATATCGGCTCATCCAAGAACCAGTTGCTCTCGTCCACCGCAGCGCCGGCGCCAGCCCTGCCAGTCGGAATGTTGATTATGCGTTACATGTGGCTTCGGCAGGGGCCTATATAGGACTTAAGGCAACCTGATTAAAGGGCACCTAAGCGGTTTGGTTTTGGCCTCGCTTGTTTGCTTAGGGCTAGATGGGAATTAAGGAGATGGGTCTCGGGCTTATGGACCCCGAGCTTGCAGTAAACCCGATATTAGCCTATACATGCCCCCGGGAGGGGATTGCTCAATGTTGAAACCACCTATCAAACCACAAAACCCTGAATACTACCAACCCCTTTATACGAGGCCTTGTCTTCATGCATGCTGGGGGAGGGGGGGGCCGCAATGCGGCGATGTCGTCGATGCCAATGAAGACGACCAATCGTGATGAACCGCACGGTCGCGGAAGTCCATTTCCACTTTTCATATTTGGCGACATCATCTGCACCACTCAGATGAAGATGAATGGACTTCAAGCGCTTGCATGTGCCAGTGGTGTGCAGATAATGCACGGCACAATGCCCCAGCGGATCTCGCACATGTTCCACAAGGCTGGTCGATGGTCAGGTCCAACTGCCATTACCGCCGACTGGAACCGGTGTGCCGCTGTGCGGGGACCATTCTCGTTGTCAATACGAATGGTCGTTCCGGATCCCATTTACGCACCCTTGGCTTTCAGGGCGTTGGATCCACCGGAGAGGCGATGGTAGCAGCACTGTGCAACGACTTGCAGATCGAACCAAGCTTCAGGGCTTGTAAGGTTAAGACAAAAAAAAACCCTAAACCCCAGACCCTCAATCGACATATATCGGGACGTATCAGATTAATCCAGGATTGCTTAAGGCCCAGGAATGAAAAATTGCCTACTTTCTGAGGCTTGGCCTGGCAGCTCCGGGGTTTAGGGTTCGGGTTTCCAGGTTTGGGGGTTCGGGTCCCAGGGTCAAGGGTCTTACGAGTTCGGGGTGTTTTAGGGTCCAGGCTGGGGGCAATTAATAATCCTGATAACCCTATTACCCTAAAAAGAACCCGAAAGCCAAAAAAGAACGGGGTCGGGTTTTAGGGTGCAGGCTGGGGGCAGCTTAACAAAAAATCCTGACAACCCGAATTTAAGCTATTACCCTAGCTACGGGCCCGAAAGCCTAAGAAGAACCCGAAAGCGGGTCGCAGGGTCAAGGGTCTTACGAGGTCGGGGTTGGGTTTTAGGGTCCAGGCTGGGTTCAACCTAATAATCCTGACAACCCGGCCTATGGGTTTTAGGGTCCAGGCTGGGGGCTTACGAGGTCGGGGTTGGGGCTTAGGGTCCAGGCTGGGTTCAACCTAATAATCCTGACAACCCGGCCTATGGGTTTTAGGGCAGGGTGGGGGCATTATTATTCGTGGCAACCCTAAACCCTAAAAAGAACCCGAAAGCTGAAACCTAAAGCGGAGATCCGAAACCGAAGCTCTGAACCCAATCCCAAGCCTAGTAACCCAAGACCAGAATATTATCGATATCCCCGACCCTACAGAATAAGTGCACGGGGACAATGCAAGTCCCAGCCTAGATCGTGCATAGCGCTGGACCCCTGCAGAAAACCCTAAAACCCGAAACCCTCCCAATAAGGACAAATCCTAAAACCCTGAGCCCTGCCGAATAGAAAAGCCTAGATCAGAAAGACCTTCAATCCCAAAAAAAACCCGAGACCTATACCCTGAACCCGAAAGCCTGAAGGGAAAATCCCGAAACTCCCGATCAGACTAAATCCCAAAACCCTGCACCCAAGCTGCAGCCATTTATTAATCCGGCTTGCAGGCCATTAATCTCTTGCGAAAGCCTAAACCCCTAATGCGGATACCCCCGAACCTAAATAACCCTGAACCCGCCCGAACTGCCAAAACACTCCGGCACCTGAAGCCCTGCTCAAACCTTGAATCTATAAGGCCATTAACCCTGAACCCCAAATCCTTATTTCACAGGAAATATCCAACGGCCCGGAAGCTTAAACCAAAAACCCTAAACCCCTGAACTACCCCGAAATGTCACCGCGACCTGCTGGCCTGCTCGAACCTCCGGATCCACTCGACGCCTGCACCAGCTAAGGTATATGCGAGTTTCTCACCAGCGCTTGCACACGACAGAGCCGGCTAGCAGAGGTGAACAAAAATCAATGATCGAAGCTCTGCCTCCACGATCTTCTGCTTCTTGGGGAGCGGATCACCACGGGCCTGCATGCATCAGATTGGGCGTTTGTTGTTTGTTTTGGTTCGAACTGTAGAGCTTTAAAGCTTCACTGCGGATAGTTTCGAACTTACCCGATCGAAATTTCACAATTCTGGAAACCCGAGCCTCGTCCAAAATAAGTCTCGTGAGAATCAGACTCTTCCATTTGTCCAGCTCCTGGGCCAGGATCGGTTCTGTTATGGACTTCAGTGTTGTTAACAGCAACATGCGCATATTAAGCCCCAGTGTCTGCCAGCCAAGCACGCCGGGGTCGCATAAAGCTAGGATCGGGAGGGGCCGGAATCTCAGAGGTGCATTCCTTGATCAAACGAGCCTCCAAAACACATTCGATCTCGTCGGCACGCACCTGCTTTTCCAGTTTCCACGTTCTGCCTTGAGGGTCCATGGCGGGGTCGATCTACGTGCTGCCTTATATTACTGTGCAAAAGCAGGTTTGACATACCTGCTTCTAGAGCATGCGGGCACACATGAGGATCATAAGCAGCTGATGAAGGCGGCATGCGAGAACACAGAGGTTATTCGAACCCAGAATGAAGCCGAAACATGACAGTTACAATGACAACTGCCTATGGACAGAAAACCCATCATTTACAGCACTTTCCGCTGCTGTAGTAAATGTAGACCCCAAACCCATCACTTAGAAGGCCCTGGTATAGGTAAAGTTCTAAAGTGACCTAGTTGTGCGGATATCCCGTAGATCATTCAACATACTCAGGTCACCGGATCCCTGCGAGCAGGGTTTTGCATTTCGGGAGATAGCCCTAAGGGTCCATGTACCCAAGTACCCACATAGTACATAAATTGGCCCCAAAGTATCTATATAGGGAATACTTTAAGGCCAATGTAATTATGATATATGAGTAGAAGGACCCTTAGGGTAGGGGCTTGCGGTACGAGCGTGGTGCGTGTCCTTACATGGTGCCAGGGAAATGGATGAGTGCTTTGTGGAGTTTCAGCAGGTTTAGGTTTCAGGGGTTTAGGGTTCAGGGTTACATGGAGCCTTTTTGTACTATTTTTGGCTGAGTCATGCAAGTTTCTACGTACGGGTCGAGTCTATTCGCTTCTGTCCCGTATCATTCCCGAGCATGACTTGTGTATCTTGATGACCATGGGTAGAGATGACTTTTCTTCAGGTCCAATGCCTACTTAAAGGCTCATGGGACTTAGCAAGTATGGTTATAAGTAGGTTATAATTAGGCTAACCCCTTAGGGGAGTTATAACCCCAATTATAACCTACTTACTAAGTCCCATGATGTCCCACGATCCTTCAAGTATGTTTGGAATTTGCAGCCTCAGGCTGTCGGGGTTTGTGGATCAGGCTTTTGAGTGGGTTGTCGACATCAGGCGCCGGGGTTGGGGTTTTGGGTCCTTGGTGAGGCATAAGGAGGTTCAGGGCTTAGGGTTCAGTAGTTGGGTTACAGTTAGGGGCTTGAGTCAGCAGCATGACCCACTTAGGTTATTCCACAAGCCTGCCTAAAATCCCCAACCCGCCTCCACTCCACGAGTCAGGATTATGTGGTGAAGGGCTGGCCTTTTTTTCCTTCATGCCGCTAGCCTTAGATCTTGATCCCTAAGCGCTATACTCTGAACCCTAATGTCCTACATCTTAAACCCTCTGGGCCTTAAACCCTCAGGAGTTTGGCACAGCGATCCGGCTGAGACGTGCAAAGTGCGGATCCCCAGCGGCAGAACTAACACAGGAAGTCTTAAACAAATGGGAGTTTCCGAAAATAGGGGTACCTTATTTAGGGGTCCCTATAATGAGGATCCTACTATGTGGGGTACTATATTAGGGTCCCCTATTTTTGGAAACACCCAAATGATTAAAGACGGGAACTATCTATGGGGCTTGCGATAGGGTTATATGGCAGTTCTTAGGGACTAAGGGGACTTAGCAAGTAGGTGTTACGCAGGGTTACAAGTACTCTGAACGTTACATCCTTCTTGTACGTCGAAGTATCGGTACTCCTCAAGTACCTTAAATCTGGCCTAAACCCACAAGTTTTGCGATCCGGATTGGCCGACAACAGACCCTCAATGTAGACTCCCCTGCTTGGAGGTTCATGGGACTTAGTAAGTTATACGTTCCTTAACTGGGGATATAGCCAATTATAAGTATAGTTACCTTATTTAGAACCCTAGTTACTAAGTACCATGAACCTCAAGTGCCACAATGCAAATACGATCGGAGCCGATGCCCATCCCGGCTCGTGGGATTCATGTAATACAATCCATGTGATCCGAAAGCCGAGTGCACCCCGATGACGCCCAATGAAACAACGCACACAACCAGGCGATAAGATTCCGATTCCTATTTCTATACGCCCAACATAGCATTCTCACACACCCAAGAGACCCTACAAGTTGACAAGACAGCAAGCCCTACACAAAGAGAATCCGAAGCATCCTAAACCGAAAGTTCCGACATAAGATTCAGATTCCTATGAAACCTTACATAGCATTCTAACTCAACACCCAAAAATCCGACAAGACTCAAGCAGCAGCAGGGCCTCCGCAGCGCAGATGCCTCGTTTCAGGGCCTCGGCAGTGCGGCACTGAGCTTCCTCTTGGCACTCCGCCAAAGAGT